ATTAAAATGTTATGTCTTTTGGACAGTATTTCTTAAAGGCCATAAAATAAATAGTGTACTTTAAAAGTTTTATTGGCACATATTTCCTTAGTCTAATTTAACCCTAGTGTTTAATTATGCTGTCTCGTACAGACTGGAAATCTGGCAGTTAATATTATTTTTCTGTTTTAAAAGAAAAACATTTTCCTCCAGGGCTAGCTTCCATATTCTTGAATGTGTTTATTTCACCCTGCCTTGCATTTTCATGAGGTGAAGTCTTGAGACTCTGTCAGAGCTAATCGGGATCTGGTATTTCTTTGTGTCCTAAAATTATGCAGAGATTTCAATTAATAACTAATCATGCCCCTGGCCTGGCAGAATACACAAAACAAAAATCCTGCATGTCAGCTACCAGAGTTAAATTTTAAATCGTTCACTACGCAAAGCAGGGACAGTGTAATAAACATTTATTGAGTACCTGCAATATACCAAAGCATTTCATGGACTACAGAAGAGCATAAGGCACCATGCATGTCCTCAAATATAGAAAAATTCTAACCTTTTCCATTGTGCCTTCTATAAATGCACTTCATAGCAAACAAATTCCTTTACCTCTCCAGGAAACTTGCCTTCCACCTACTAGTCCTATTTAAAATCTATGCAATAAGAATATCTCTTCCCTTTTAGTCTTCCTTAGTGGAGTTGCTTTTCTCACGACTTCCAAACCACAAGGATAGATATTCAGAGTCAATATTTGCAGAATATTTCAGACTTCTTAGAGGCGTATCATTCAGATGGACTGTCTTCTCCTCATCCTCATTGTCTTTGCTAGACCTTCTTGATAACAGTCCTTGAAGACTTGTACTCAAGCTCGGCTGCCTTTTTTATCCACCCCGTCTCCCAGAATCATCCTGAGCATGTTCATTGTCTCCATGTTCATTGTCTCTTCCAGTGCCTTTACCCACTCAGTCCTGAAGCCCTTCATCCAGTCCTGAGCATTCTCAGATTTGCCTTTTTTATCATCTTCTATGGAAGTATTCCAATATCCTGCTAGCGATGTCTTTGGATCTGTGCGTTCCTCTCCATTCTATCCTTTTCACAGCTAGTAAAGTCATCTTTTTAAGCACAAATCTTTTTAGGATTTTCCCAGGCTTAAACCTTTTCAGTAGTTTCCCATTACCCAGAGCAGTGCTTCCCACCTTTCCCCATGGGGACACACATTGGAAAAGGTAATAAATATGCAGGGGTAAATTGAGGGGGAAACTTGGACCTGGAGACCACTAACCTGGGACCTCATGCTGATTCAAGCCCTGCCTCAGGCCTCAGGTTTACCTTCTGGTGCATTCACTGGGCTATCCATGTAGAGGATGAAGCCCAAACTTCTTAGCTTTGGTGTCTTACTTGGGATTCTCCCTGCCAGTTCCCTCCCAAAGTGGAGTCTGGAACAAGAACTTGAGTACAGGTAGTTTGGAAGCAGAAGCCAGGGATTAGATAGCACAAGACAAGGAGAGGAGAAACCCTCTGAACAAAAGGGGCTCAATTCCACTCAGGACCATCTTAGAAAATGCCTAGAATGAGCCACAAAATTGTCCCCCAGAAGGACAACAGGAGAGCAGGACCTTTTACCACAGACTCTTGTCTCCCATGGATTGTGAGTTGCCCCCAGGGCCATTCTGTGCATTTCCTGGCTGCATCTGCATCCTATCTCAAAGGACTTCCTGCTTCAGAGAAGGTCCTTGAGTTTTATAAGCTGGGGTGGGACAAGTGCGTTGAACTGTTTACCCCAGCTGCTCTGTACTCACACAGGCTAGATGTTATGGAATGGAGCATTGTAAATGTCTGGTACTGTCTACCTCTGTATCACTCAGATCTTGTTGTGCTTCATGTTATGTCCACTCTGTCACTAACTCTATAAGGAGTGGCTGGTCATGATATTTTGAAAAGTAAAAAAAAAAAAGGGCAAGACTTATGACCAGGGGGTTAGTGGACCAGCTGCCGGCTCCACTAGTCTCAAGCTGATCTTAAGGCTGTGATTGAAGTTCATCATCTCCCTTCTCTGACACCCATTTCTGATTGTCCTCACCTTGAGCCAGCACTTCTGCTAGTTTGCCTGATGAAATGGCCCAGACTGTCATCCCATGACTGCCTTGCCCTCTCAGGCTGTCATTGCTGTACTCCATGTTCACTGTTACCACCAGGCATGGAAGCACCAAGAGAGATCCCAGTGACTCTCCAGCATTTCCAACATCCTCCTCTCCACCCCGCTCTATAGCAGCAGTCTTCTTTCCTCATAATGGTGAGGGCTGTTTATCTCACCTGTCCAGTAGCTCTTCTCTTTGCCTGGTGAGCTGCCAGCATGAGAGTCATGAAGTAACCAAGCAGAGCTTGAGCTACAGTGGAGCCCTTACCATGTCCACTAGTGCGATGGTTCTCAACCAGAGATGGTTTTCCTCTAAGGGACAGTTGGTAATGTTTGGAGACATTTTTAATTGTCACATCTTAGAGAGAGGTTGCTACTGGTGTCTAGTAGGTAGAGGCCAGGGATGCTGCTAAACATCCTCCAACGCACAGGATATGCTCCCACAATAAAGACATATCTGGACCTAAATGACAATGGTACCAAGGTTGAGAAACCCTGTCTTAGTAGAAATGATTCATCCCTGGGAACTTGGACTTCTAATCCCACATAGTCTAGAGCTGTGGGGACAGGAAGGACACAGTCTGCAAGTGGTTCCCTATGAATGATGGTGAAAAGGTTCGTTCATTCCACCCCTTGGTTCCCAGACTTGTGTATTCTAGCTTTTGGGGACACAGTACCAAACAGCATCCCTTGGTTCAGTGCATATACTGCATTCCAGAGGATAATATCCTAGAATTTTCCATTTAAAAGATGAGAAGGCTGGGACATTTATCTACTCACATCTTGGGGCTGTGGGAAGACTATGATGTGGGATACTGGCATGGTGATGTAACTGTACATTACAGCTATGCTGAACTCACACGGGTGGAAGAGACATACAAAGACCAGAAGCATCTGCTAAATGTAGAATATATTCAGAATACAAGGGTGGGGTCTTTTTCTTTATTGTCACTGTATTGCCAGCACCCATAGAAGTGCCAAGCACATAGGTTCATATGAGTGGCTTAATAAGTATCTGTTGAATAAAGATGAAATAACTGTAAGTAAACAGTGAATCAATGAATCAATCAATGAAGTCTTACCTAAAATTTTCCAAGTATATTGAATATTTTAGTGTGGTTATCAGTATCTTCTTAAATGAAGAAATTCAGGATCTCAAATTTATGGCTTCTCTATAGATGTCATGATGGTAGCATTCAACATATCTCACATTTGTTCACGATGTCTCTCTTTTCTGGATTTGATTGGCCATTATCCAGTTTAGAGTAGTAAGTATAAAATTTGCTTTTTGGATTCAGTATTCTCCTTTTCTCTTGAATGATGGTTTAGCCGACACATTCATGAAGGCGTTATTTGTGTTAAATTTTAAAAGAGGGATAGTATTTCAGTGGGTGAAGATGGAGTGTAGAGAAGACAACAAACAAACAAAAACATAGGGATAAGAAATTTCTGAGTGTGTTTTCAGGTAACAGTGGCTAATTAGAGCTTAGGATATATGAAGTATGTACGCAGGAGTAAGAGGAAATCTTTGAAAATATAATTGGAGCTACATTTGCCAGGTCTTTGAGTAGCAGGCTAAAACATCCTCACACCTTCATAAATGGTCCAGTTACTCACTGTTTATGATGTTCTGCCTCTACAATAAAGCTCTCTGACAGTATGCTATATGCTTTGTCTCTGAGACTATTCTGTCCAAATCCTGTTAGTCTCTCAAGACCCTGCACCAGTTCCGCCTCTGGCGTCAAGTTCTTTCTAACCACTCATGTCTACCCACATAGCTTCCCCTAGCTTTTATTTTTTGCACTTCTTAATTCCCACTCACCTAATACTTGGCATTGTTTCACTTTTATCTTCACTCCTCAACTACATAAGAAGCCAGTCAAGGGTGACAGTAATTCTTTTTGTCCCCTATGTCAGCAAGCAGAATATATGCACATAGAAGATGCAGTAAATAATTGGAAAGTTAAAAGCATCCAGTTTGATGATGCTTATCTGAATCTTTTCTAATTTTAATTTTTTTTTTTTTTTGGTGAGAAAGATCAGCTCTGAGCTAACATCGGTGCCAATCCTCCTCTTTTTGCTGAAGAAGACTAGCTCTAGGCTAACATCCATGCCCATCTTCTTCCACTTTATGTGGGAGGCCGCCACAGCATGGCCTGACAAGCAGTACATCGGTGTGAGCCTGGGATCCAAACCCAGGCCACTAGCAACGGAGCGCGTGCACTTAACCGCTACGCCACCGGGCCAGCCCTGAATTTTTTCTATATGTAAATCAAAAAGAATAGTATGTTTGGGGAAAAAGGTTAGGAGCATATAGTTGCACATATTTTAAACTTTGCTATATACCTGTTTTTTGTGTGCATCCAAAGAGATGAGTAGAGTAGAAGGAGGATATGTGTGACAGTGTGGCTGTATTTGTTTTAATATGTTTCATGACTTTTTGTTGCCTAAACTTCAGACAGTAAAAGAATCCAAGTGATCAGACTGGATTTCTTTAGCTTTCACAAATTTTAGAACATTTAATTTTAAAAACTTAATCTAAAGATGTAAACATATGTTGATTTTTAATTTGATACCATTAAGTAAAATGATAAAGATATAAAACTTTTTAGATTAAACCACATACATTTGTTATACTCACCACTAATAATGGTAATAAAGGGTTTTTTTTTAATCAATATATTTTGTCATTATAATAGTCATTGTAAACAATGCAGTTTTCGTACTTGGAGATTCGTCTTTTGGTGGATTCCTTCCTTCCTTCCGCCTACCTGCACTTGCTCTCTCACGGGCACCCCCACTCAGTTTTCGCTTCTTTACTGCATACTTTTGCTTTAAATTATTCTTGATGGAATCTTGTTTTTGTCGGCTTATTTCCTAGATGGGAAGTGATGGAATTTTACGCCTCAGTACTTCAGCTCTAAATAATGAATTCTTTGCATATGCAGCTCAAGGATGGAAGCAGCGACTGGCAGAAGGTAAATTTCTATTTTCCGTTATTATTTGACATATTTGATACACATAGTGTACTGAGCTTTGCACCTTTCTCTGATTTCCAAGTCTTTTGTTCCCCCTGAAGTATACTTTAATTTAGTAAAAACTCACATCCTATTCCAAGTGACTTCACTAATTCTTTTGTTGTGTTGACATTTTTGGTGTCTGGTATTTTTGAAGAAAGCATGATGTTATCTGGGACAAAATAAGAATTTTTAATATAGCAAGATTTTCTTTGGAATGGTAATTTTAATTACAGTATTTGATGTGTTTTGTAATTTCTTAATGTCCTGGAACCTAAAGAATCTTCTTTTAATAATTCCTTCCCCTGAAGCCACCACTTCACCATATCCTTCCTTTAGTCACCAAGCTTTTTGAAAGACTGAAAAATACCCAATGCTACCACATTTTTACTCCCTAACCCACTCAAATTGTCATAGTTGGGTCTGGCCCCACAGTGCCCAAATAATCCCTGCTAGAGAATAGGAATGGCTCTCTGATGGCAAAGTCCAGTTTTTTCTGCCCAGTCCTTACATTTCATGTTCCTTCTCTAATATCTCATTTGTTTTTTACCCCATCCAATTTGAAACCATCTACCTTAGACATTCATAATATATTTGAAATCGTTACCTGGGGTACATATCTGACGGCGTTTTCTCAGCTTCTTTCAGGTGTTCCTGTTCTTCCCTCTGATGGTAGATGTTGATGTCTCCACCATTCTCTTCCCTGATATTTTCTTTTGTAATTATACGTATTCTCTAAGCATCCTCATTCACCACTGGTTTCAGCTGTGGCCATAGGCAGAAAACTTCAAATTTGGGTCTAACTCCTTTTTCCTAATCCTCAGTGTTCTATTCCAAATGCCTACTGGATCTCCCTAGCTGATATCAGACATCTTAAAACCAAAATGCTAATATTAAACTCACTATCTTCCCTTATCTACTATTCCTTCTGCCTTTTCTCTTTCTGTTAATGTCACTGCTGTCACACATTTCCTCACTTTGAAACCTTGATGACATCTTTGATCCTCTTCCATCTCCCCAGGTCCATATGATTATGAACTGTTGATTGTGCCATGTGCCACAGCTACTGTCCTGACTGTAATCTCCACCTCTCATCTTGCTACTCAGTAGCCACCCTGCTGGAGTCCTATAATTTCTTCACCTTGTTTCTAAGCCACTTGTTTGGCCACATTCCTCCCTCACTGAATGTCACCAGGACCTCCCTCTGTCTTTTGTAGGAAAAATTCAGAACTCTCGTTAACATTTGCATTGGGTAATTGGCCTCAGCCTACCTTTCCCCTTTCATTTCATCCTATGTTCTACTCGCAATTGGCCACTCAAAAGAACATAAATATACATATTCATATCTCTGTGCCTTGTAAGTTAATGACTTTATAAAAGCTTGATCGTGCTTCAAAAGCTAACTAAAAAATCAGTTCCTATATGTCATTTTCCCTCATCAATTGAGGCAGAATTAAGTGTTTTCTCTTCTATACTTTCACTACATTTATTCTTAATGGCCTATCCAGGGCTTTTGACATTTTATTATAGCACCTGTGTGCCTTTTCTCTCACCAGACTGATTTCATTAACGACAGTGAATATACATGCTGTCATTTGCAGCCCCTAGCATGCAATGCATTTGGTAAATGTTTTAGAGTTCATCTGTGACTCAATGACTATTTGAGTGATGTTCATAAAAAAGAGAAGCTGTAGAAATATTATCAGTTCTCAGCCTTTTACTTTTCAACATCCATAAAAATTTACTCATAAAAATTTACTCAAATTAATTACATGTTTTCTTTATTAATTAGCAAGAGATATGACCACTTTTACTCAATATATAAGCATTTTCTTTCTAGGAGAATTTACTCCAGAAATGCAGTTGCGGATAAGGCAAGAAATTGAGAAGGAAAAGAAAACAGAACCTTGGAAAGAAAAATTCTTTGAAAGGTTTTATGGAGAAAAGTAAGTACTAGAGCATTTTTTTCTCATTTCTCTTAGAAGGAAATGAAAATGTAATTCTCTGCTTCACATAGCACACTTATATGCTGTAAAACTTAATAAACCTGTGATAAAAGGCAATAGTCCCTCAGTGTAAGAAATTGCAGGTAAAATTATAGTGGCATATCAGCACTTAAATTTAAAAACATGCATTTTCAAGGGTTTATAACTTGTCTATGAAAATTCATTTTGGACTGAAAATAGCACATGAAATCCTATAGAAGTCAATTTTGGCTTCTTAACTGGATTTTAGTAAAAATCTCCTGTATTTAATCCAGATATTTTCATTAATGAATACTTTAGAGATAAGTAGTTTTAGATACATATTTAATTCTCACATTTTCCAAAAATATTGACTATGCATATATATTTGTTTAGTCCTTGTTTTGGGGAAAGGCTGAGGTATTACCCTTTACTCTATTTTCCTTTTTGAGTGTAACCTGTTTTTAACTTATTTTTATTTGTGTGTTTGTTTCTTTTTTAAATAATACCAGCCACACATAAGTGTGGTAATGACTGAACTAAATTGAAAGTAGTTTCTCCTTTGTCTCATTGTTAAAAGAAACATGTTCTACATGGGAAGAATTGGAGTCTTATAGACAATCAGATTCCTAAGAAAGGAGTAGAGATTGAGGAAAATGGACAGTAACTTGAGTTACTTAGTAACTCAGTCCTCTTAGTAGAGGAATTTGTGCTTTAACTTCCAACATACACAGTTATTGCTGAGAGTTGTTGTTTTGTGTAAAAGACACTGGGGTGGTCACAGGTAATGAAACCTGTACCATTTGATCTAATTTCACAAAATTCCCTCTGTAAATGGGGAAAAGCATGCCGGAAGGAGTCTCACATGAGAACTCTTCATGAAAAGGAATCGCATGATTGGTCAACAGGCTGCGTACTGAGAGTAGGCTAGCCTTCGGTGAACTGTCCTAACCAGCAGTGCTCTCGAGTAGGAAGTCTTGTTTTTAATTGCTGTCCTAGGACTCCTGGATACGTATACATATTTAAACAAAACTAAAAGGAGATAATTAACATCTTTTCTCAAAAACTAAAAATATGGCACGCTAGTTATATGCTTTCATATATAGTCACCAACAGTATTATTCAAGCCTGGCTGCATCAAAATCCTCATTGGAGCTTTTAAAAAGAGAGAGAGATTACTGGGACCCACCCCAGACATACTGATTGAGACTCTCCAGCAGTTGAGCCCAGGAATCTGTATTTTTAGATACTTTCCAGGTCATGCTGATGCCCAGCAGGATGAAGAAGCCTGGAGGATGACATTGAAGACCACTTAGGATGCCTCCCTCACCTTTTGTCTGACAAAGGGACTGTTGGGAGCACTCTTCAGTAATGGCAGAAGCATAACCGAGTTAGTTATCTCCAAAGCACTGGTCCTTAATTTTTATTGACTGTTGGGCCCATTCTTTTATTAATTCAACAATATTTATCCAACGTCTCCTCTCTGTCAGACATTCTCCTAGATGCCGGAGGTGCAGTCAGTCATCTGTAGGGCTTCCTAAGGCTCTGCCCTTACAGAGCCTACATTTTAGGGACCGTGCATTACAGGGAGTTTTCTTTCACTCAACAAAGAATCATTGAGCCTTCTCTGGCTCTGACGTTTCTAAGAGCTTTGCAAATATTCACTTAATCCTCTCAATACTCCTACAAGGTGTGGATATCATTATTATTCTTATATTTAAAAAAAGTTTAGGAACCCGAGGGACAATGAAACTAAGTAATTTTCCCATGTTTACACAGTGTGGTTAAGTAATTTACTCAGGATCTTAATCCTGAAAATCCTTCTCAGAGAAATTTGCACACACACAATGTTTTACATGAAATTTAGGGGCCTCATAGACTCCAATGGATAGCAGGCTAAAGGCCCCTGCCCTGGAGGGTGACAGCTACAATACTGTGAGTACAAGTGACTCTCCATCACCATTACTGAGCTCTGAGGACAAACAGTTCTTTTACTTAACCCTTTGCTTGCTGTAGTTTATCCGTAGAGTTTCTGTCCCCTTACATCACAGGACTCCTTGCTTGTTCTCTTTGGTCTTTTATTACGTACTGGATGACAGATGTATTCTGGACATTTCATTGACTGCCCTTCTAATTTTGTTACTTCTGTATTACCTGCATTCCCCCAATATGTGAGGGAGTTTTTCTGGCATCAGTTTTCAGTGGAGTAATACCATGTGCCTTTTCATTGCTCCAGGTTTTCCCAAGAATGTTGCCATCCAAACTCATCTCGAGTTAAGATGTCTGATTTAGTTTTCTGCCTTTTGTTTGAGATCTTTATCGTGGTTCTTATTGGCTTACTCTGCTTGTAATATAGTACTGTTTTATATTCATTTTAGTTACTTAGAGATCATCTGTTTGTATGCTAACTCAGAATTGCAGGAGTTGGTCTGTTGATTTGCGGTCTAGATTTCTGGAGGTCAGGATTTTCCTTTGTTTGGTATGTGGTGTGCTGTGAGCATCTTCCTTCTATGACTTACACTGTCTTAAATCTATTTCCATGAAAATAATAAAATACTGACATAGACATATTTTATACAGTGCTGTTTTGCATACAAGATTTATATATATATGTATATTTATATATATCGTTATTAACCACTTAGCAGAAGTTCGGCTGCCAGTGGATAGATTCTGTATCTTCTACACCTTACTTCTTATCAGTGGTACCTCTGCTTAACCTAGCCTCAAGGGACCTTATTTCTAGCTGATTATTCTGCTTTAAATTTATCTGTAGTTATTCTGCTCCGCTCAGTATAGTATAGTTATAAATTGTAGCTTTGTTTGAACTCATCTTAGGGAAAGTTGAAAGAAAAGAGACTAATTATGAAGGAAATATCTTCTTTTTAGAGCCTTCTGAATTTTAGTAAAGAAGGCAATGGTCAAATACCCAAAAAGTGTATTCAATTTTATTTCCCTTTCATTTTGAGGATTTAATTTAAGTAAAAGGTAAGTGGATTTCACTGAGGTATTTTCTTGTACTGATACTGTTTTAGCTGTATTTCTTCACTCAAATGCATTTCTTTCTCTGGAAATGTTCTCTCTCCTGCTTATCTTTGTAATTGCCTGTACTCTAATTTAACTGCATGTAGAACAGCATATTTCTCTACCATCTGATGCTGATTTTGTAACTTAGTATGACAAGAAGTAGTGATTTACAATATCTTTCATTGTAATTCTGATTAACTTTGTTTTATGACTTAAACATTAGGCTGGATTATTTCTTGATATTCTTTACTGTCTTTTATGGAATATCTTTACGGTAAGAAATCTGCATGAAAGAATTTAAAAGTCTTGCCTCACACAAATGTAATCTAGTAGAATCAATTTTGATGATCCCAAATATGTTTTGTTATTCTTTAGTGAAATTTCCATATTGTCTTAGGTTAGACACTTAGATACAAATAAGGTGATTGAGTAACACCTCTTACGTTGGTTTAAGAGAACTTAATCTTTGGTAGTCATTTTAATTTCAAGATTTTACAACATAGCCATCTTCTGTTCATTTTAATTATTTGGTTATGTTGCACTCTCTGAAGACTATGTAGTTTTCTATTATAAGGACATCTTTCTACTTTCTGACTTTAAAAATTTTAGATCTTACACATTCTTTTGCTTTTCTCCCCATATTTTCTAATCTTTTGTAGTATGTAATTTTCTTATTCCTTTTACTAACTTACTTGGTAAGGTTCATATCTCCTTGCTTACAGAGTAAAAACCTATACCTTTCTTAACCAGAAGTAGAGTTTAATTTAGTTATGATTATAAAAGCAGTAGAAAAACTAAGTCATCATAAACTAGTTTATATAAATTAAGCATGTTACTTAGTGACTATAAAATTTATTTGATGCATTTAATTCTATTGAATATTATACTTGCGACAGATCCAAGTTGTACCTTTCATGTTTTGTGGTTGAACAGTAATTTAATGTTCCTAATTTCTTTTCAGGTTAGGCATGTCAAGAGAGGAATCGGTGAAGCTCACTTCTGGACCAAACAATGATGGAGCTGAAAGTGGTTCCTCATGTGGGACCTCTGGCCTTCCAGGTCTTTCTGCACAGACTCACTTGGAAGAACAACAGCCAAAAAGCATGAAAAGTCCAACTTCTCCAGAGCCTGATTTCTGTGCTACGCTTTGCCCTATGGTAGATATGGGTAAGGATGTAATGGCAGAATCAGAATCAGAAGATATCTTGATCCCTGAAGAATCTGTGATTCAGGAGGAAATTGCAGAAGAGGTCGAGACTAGTATCTGTGAATGCCAGGATGAAAATCATAAGACAATACCTGAATTTTCTGAGGAGTCTGAAAGTCCAGCCAACTCTCATGAAGAGCCCCAAATAGTACCTCCTGAAGATAACTTGGAATCCTGTGTTATGATGAATGATGTTTTAGAAACTTTGCCTCATATTGAAGTTAAGGTGGAAGAGAAATTAGAATCTCCCCAGGAAGAAATGTCGGTTGTTATTGATCAACTAGAAGTCTGTGACTCTCTTGTTCCTTCCATTTCATCTGTGACTCACGTCAGTGACACAGAACATAAGGAGCCAGAAACGTCAATAGAGACCAATTCTCCGAAAATAAAAATAGGGTCCTCTTCTTTAGACGGCCAATTTCCAAATGAAGGAATTGCTGTGGATATGGAGCTACAGAGTGATCCTGATGAACAGCTTTCTGAAAATGCTTGCGTCTCTGAAACGTCATTCTCTTCTGAGAGCCCAGAGGGAGGCTGTACCAGTCTGACGTCCCCAGGAGGGGAAACCCAGTCTACTTCAGAAGAATCATGTACTCCAGCCTCCCTTGAGACAACATTCTGTTCTGAGGTGTCTAGCACTGAAAATGCAGACAGATATAATCAGAGAAATCCCACTGATGAAAACCTTCATGCATCTTTGATGTCAGAAATTTCTCCAATATCCACTTCACCTGAAATATCAGAAGCATCTCTGATGTCCAATTTACCTTTAACATCAGAAGCATCCCCGGTATCAAATTTACCTTTGACATCAGAAACATCACCCATGTCTGATTTACCTTTGACCTCAGAAACTTCTTCAGTCTCTTCCATGCTTCTTACATCTGAAGCCACTTTTATCTCCAGTTTGCCACTTCCTTCAGAAACATCTCCAATTTCTAATTCTTCCATGAATGAGAGAATGATGCGTCAACAAAGAAGGTCACCTTCTATATCCGAAGAACCACTGTCACCACAGAAAGATGAAGCTTCTGCCCTTGCCAAACCCCTGGGTGAGAGCCTTATTTCTCAGCAGAAGACCCTCTCTAGTACTCCTGAACCCATCAAAATGGGTTCTTCTTCCATTGCTCCTGAAGCATTTCCATCTGAAGAATTGCACAATAAGACCCTGAGCCAGCAGCCTTGTAAATCACGTATTGAAACTGAGAATCCCTATCCTGCTTTGATTCCAGAACTTCCTCCTACAGAAATGATAAAAGTTAAAAATCATAATGTCCTGCAAAGAACAGAAAAGAAAGGAGTGTCTTCACCATTAGAATTATCTGTCTTTTCTGAAGAAACAGAGAGTAAGGGAAATGAGCTTACGTCACCTAAATTACAGGACAAGCAATATGTCTCATCAGTGGATAAGGCCTCATTTTCAGAAGGCTCTAAAAATAAAACACATAAGCAAGGGAGCTCACAGAATCGGTTGGAGACCTCGCATACTTCCAAGTTGTCAGACCCCTCCAAGTCACCTGATGGGATAAGAAATGAAAGTAGAGAATCCGAGATATCAAAGAGGAAAACTGCAGAGCAGCACAGCTTTGGAATCTGTAAGGAAAAGAGGGCTAGGATAGAAGATGATCAGTCAACCCGGAACATATCATCTAGCAGCCCACCAGAGAAAGAACAGCCTCCAAGAGAGGAACCCAGGGTTCCACCTCTCAAGGTACAGTAAGTAGAGACATGAGTTATTGAGTTTTGAGTATTCCCAGTGGTAAAGGAGTCATTCAACATCAGTGAACATTTGTAAAAAAAAAAAAAAAAA